TACCCTTCCAGTCGGCGAGGCATGTACCTCGTCGCCTGGAAGGCTAGCCTTCCAGCCGGCGAGGTACATGCCTCGCCGGCTGGAAGGCAACCCTTCCAGTCGACGAGGTACATGCCTCGCCGGCTGGAAGGCAACCCTTCCAGTCGACGAGGTACATGCCTCGCCGGCTGGAAGGCAACCCTTCCAGTCGACGAGGTACATGCCTCGCCGGCTGGAAGGCAACCCTTCCAGTCGACGAGGTACATGCCTCGCCGACTGGAAGGACCTTGCCGGCTGGAAGGAAACCCTTCCAGCCGGCCATTGGTCTCGGGTATCCCAGGGGATACCCGGATATCCGCCGGGATTTGGGGGGGAAAAGGACATCCGCAGCCGAATCCGCATCCCCTGGCGGGTATCCGCTGGCCCTGGCGGATATCCGCCAGCGGATAGCGGATATCCGCAACGGATTATCCCCGCCCATCTCTAAACCGTTCTGCCATTGTCATCAGCTCCGACTGTGCCACTCGAAAAAATCACCGCCACATTGATCGATAATTCCACTCCATCAATGAACTCCTTTATCTCAATCATGTGGTCATAAACTGGATCAGTACTGATGAGCAGTTAGTGGATGTACTCACCAAGGCCCTTGGTTGGAAGAAGGTGGAGGATTTTTTGAAAAAGGCGGGCATGAAGCACCAGCCTCACATTATGGCAAGTAATGGGGGGAAAGTATGCGCTGGCAGGGATGATCATACGCCCCCCGCGATTGTTCGTCTCCCTCCTGAATGCACAGATAACCATCCGGATTGATTGGTTCAACAGTTGCTAACCTTTTATGGGTTATTTTTTGCAGCTTTCGGAACCTGGCAAAACATTTGACCTTTATCTGTTGACTGCTCTCTTTCCTTCCGCTCAAATATTTATTTTCTTTAAATCTATCTCCGTTATTTTCCTTCTAATTTCCTTTCTCTCAACTTTCTCTGTTTTTCTTTTTTGCTACCATCTGCTTCTTCTTCTTCCAATCTTCCATTATGTCATGTTTTTTGCTTTCTTTTCTTTCTGTTTTCTCCAATTTATTTCTTCTTTCCTTTATTCCTTTCTTCCTTTTTTCTTTATGTCTTTGTTTCTGGTGTTGTTGAGGGGGGGAATGTTGTGTTTATATTATGTGTTAAGAGTCTAAACCCATATTTCAAATCATTTTCTATTATTTACATATTTTTTCATCATTGTTTATTACATATTTTCTCACCAACACAAGCATGTACATATTTCAGAACTATAAATACTTGTCTAGCTAAGAAATGCAGTTTTCCCCTGGGGGAATTTTCTATTCTCATTTTTACACATATTCTCGCTATAACAATGTACAGTATCCTCCCAGATGTTTATGTCTGGGGGTAAACCTGTCACAGGTCCACTTGAGCCTGTGCGGCGACTGACTGACTGAAGAGCCAACTCAGCCAAACAATCCGGATCCACCATACCTCCAACTTCTGCCAGCCTTGAAACTTCTGACAGCCTCATCATCAGCCTCCACCAGTCAGAAGACCAAAGCCCTTTCAAAGGACCTGCTTGGATCAATTTGTCCCCTCAACTGGTACCCAACTGACTCGCTTTGTCCTGAGACCGAGGCTTTGAATCTAGCAGTAGCCGCGCCAAAACCTCACCCTACAGAAGCCCACAGGGGACACCAATCAGCTCATCATTTTGAAAAATGAAAAATGACTTTTTGAAAATACAGAATTCTGTATTCCATTCAAAATACAGATTTCTGTATTTTAACATTCTAAAATTTGAAACATTAGTGCTGGATCAGATACCCATACATACATAGTTGCATAATACCATTTGCCATCTCATTCCAGAAAACCAACACTGCATCAGCCCGGTACGGTCCTACTCCTGGGCGGATGCTGATTCACTAAGAATAGCCCGGTGAGGAGAGTACTCCCTCCAATGGCTGGTTCAGACCGTTCATTGATGGGGGTACCCTCTATGACCGGTCATCACCGGTCATCGATGGGAGTACATACTCCCTTTCATGAGGTTTGTTTGTGAGCAACGTTGGGAGCCCCGTTACGGCTTGATCACTGTGAACCAATGCTTCTTGTTGAAAGGGTAGCCATGCAAGTTTTGCACGTGGATATGATAGCTTTGATCAATCTGCCTCATTTAGATTCATTGACAATGGGTGCACCCTCTTGAACTTGGGTCGGAATTGTTCCTTGATATCCGTGTAGTCAATCTCAAGATCAGAATCTTCCTCATCGCTCAAGGGGTCAACTTCCTTTCCGTTTGCAACCATGTTATCATTTGATTGGTCAATTGGGATGTGAGGGGATGGCCTATAGGACAGCCCCAATATCGATTGTTTTTTTTTTTTTTTTTTTCAAAAAAAAAGGAAAAAAAACTAGCCCCTCGGCCTAGAGAGGCCAAGGTCACACCACTGAGAGGAACCCCTCCCGGCAAGCGTCTACATGCCAGCTTGTTGGGAGGGGTTCCTCCTGGCGAGCTGGTTTCAAACCAGCTCGTCGGAAGGAATCCCTTCCAATGAG